ACAACCATGTGTGCCCCTGGGTGTGTCTGCTGTGTTCTGGGGAAATGGAAATGCTACCACAGGCATTGACTCAGGCAGAAGTTCCAGAACTTTACCCAGCCTCCCCGTTGGTGATTGTCTCCTGTTAAAATGTGAGTATCACAGATGGAATGCAGAAGAGGTTCCTGCCGCTGACGTGCTGCTTTCTTTTCGGAGTGGAAGTGCCAGGGTATTTCTGCCCATGGTACACTTTAAGCCAAAGTAATTTGTACATCTTTAACAAACCCAGTACGCAAAAGGCTGTTTAACTAGATGTGTAAGTGGTGGTTATCTTTTATTTCTGCTTTCACTGTGTAAGACAGTAAACCTTTTTAACTGTAAGGAAGGTGTTCAGCTTCCTTTTACCTCTTGCCTCATTATGTACTTTCGACTTTATTCAGATTTGTGCAAGCTTGGTTTTTACCTCACAGGAAAAGCGAGAACTAATCACTCCGGAGGTGATTTGAGCTGTTCGTGTGAAGGTGTGTGAAGAAGTCGTGACCACATCTTTCCTAAACCAGCCTCCAACTCTGAAACAAAGAGAAATGCTGGTCTTTGCAGCCCTGGGGCTGCGGTCCTCTTGGACACCAGCGAGGCAACAGGCCCATCCACACGGGGCCAGAGTGACAGGTCCCCATCCTCACAAGGCCGGGGAGACAGGCCAAACCTACATGGGGCCAGGGCGACAGTCCCATCTGCACAGGGCTGGGGTTGGAACTGAGTCATCCTGGACCCCAGCTTCGTGTTTCACCCCCAGATCTTCCCCACACCACTGCCATGTTCTTACTGCTGCAGCCTTGCTTGAGGGCAGCTGCGGTACCTTCTGGCTTCTGGCCAGGGGCCCCCCACCCCCACCAGTCACACTGTGGAACGAAGTGGCCCTTCCCGTCCTGGCATGCGCAGCCCTTTCCCACCTTCCTGTGAGTCTTGGTCCCCCAGGCCTTCACTCTGCGCCTGTGTTCACACTGCATGTGTTCACTCTGCATTTGTGTTCATACTGTGTTCACTCTGCATCTGTGTTCACTCTGCATCTGTGTTCACACTGCATGTGGTCACTCTGTGTTCACACTGCATGTGTTCACTCTGCATCTGTGTTCACTCTGCATCTGTGTTCACATTGCATGCGTTCACTCTGTGTTCACACTGCATGTGTTCACTGCATCTGTGTTCACTCTGCATCTGTGTTCACACTGCATGTGTTCTCTGCATCTGTGTCCACACTGCATATGTTCACTCTATATTTGTGTTCACACTGCATGTGTTCACTCTGCATCTGTGTTCACACTGTGTTCACTGTGCATCTGTATTCACACTGCATGTGTTCTCTGCATCTGTGTCCACACTGTATGTGTTCACTCTGCATCTGTATTCACTCTGTATGTGTTCACTCTGCATCTGTGTTCACACTGCATGCATTCACTCTGTGTTCACACTGCATGTGTTCACTGCATCTGTGTTCACACTGTGTACACTGCATGTGTTCACACTGTTCGCTCTGCATCTGTGTTCACACTGTTCACACTGCATCTGTGTTCACACTGTGTTCACTCTGCATCTGTGTTCACACTGCATGTGTTCACTCTGCATCTGTGTTCACACTGTGTTCAGTCTGCATCTGTGTTCACACTGCATGTGTTCACTCTGCATCTGTGTTCACACTGTTCACTCTGCATCTGTGTTCACACTGCATGCATTCACTGTTCACACTGCATGTGTTCACTCTGCATCTGTGTTCACACTGTGTACACTACATGTGTTCACACTGCATCTGTGTTCACACTGTGTTCGCTCTGCATCTGTGTTCACACTGTTCACTCTGCATCTGTGTTCACACTGCATGTGTTCACTGTGTTCACTCTGTTCACACTGCATGCATTCACTCTGCATCTGTGTTCACACTGTGTTCACTCTGCATCTGTGTTCACACTGCATGTGTTCACTGTGTTCACTCTGTGTGTTCAGTCTGCATGCGTTCACTCTGCATGCATTCACTCTGCATGCGTTCACTCTGCATCTGTGTTCACTTTGTATCTGTGTTCACACTGCATGCATTCACTGCATCTGTGTTCACACTGTGTACACTCTGTATTGTGTTCACTGCATCTGTGTTCACACTGTACACTCTGTATCTGTGTTCACACTGCATGTGTTCACTCTGCATCTCTGTTCACAGTGCATGCGTTTGCTCTGCATCTGTGTCCACACTGCATGTGTTCACTCTGTATCTGTGTTCACACTGCATGTGTTCACTCTGCATCTGTGTTCACCTGTATGTGTTCACACTGTGTTCACTCTGCATCTGTGTTCACACTGCATGTGTTCTCTGCATGTGTCCACACCGTATGTGTTCACTCTGCATCTATATTCACTCTGTATGTGTTCACTCTGCACCTGTGTTCACACTGTGTTCACTCTGCATCTGTGTTCACACTGTGTTTACTCTGCATCTGTGTTCACAGTGCATGTGTTCACTGCATCTGTGTTCACTGTGTTCACTCTGCGTCTGTGTTCACTCTGTATCTGTTCACACTGCATGTGTTCACTCTGCATCTGTGTTCATACTGTGTTCACACTGCATGTGTTCACACTGCACCTGTGTTCACACTGTGTTCACTGCATGTGTTTACACTGCATGTGTTCACACTGTGTTCACTCTGCATCTGTGTTCACCTGTATGTGTTCACTCTGCACCTGTGTTCACACTGTGTTCACTGCATGTGTTCACACTGCATCTGTTCACACTGTTTACTCTGCATCTGTGTTCACAGTGCATGTGTTCACTGCATCTGTGTTCACTGTGTTCACTCTGCGTCTGTGTTCACACTGTATGTATTCACTCTGCATCTGTGTTCACACTGCACCTGTACACTGTTTACTGCATGTATTCACTCTGCATCTGTGTTCACATTGCATGTGTTCACTCTGCACCTGTGTTCACACTGCATGTGTTCACACTGCATCTGTGTACACTATGTTCACTCTGTATCTGTGTTCACTGCATGTGTTCACTCTGCACCTGTGTTCACTGCATGTGTTCACTCTGCATCTGTGTTTACACTGTGTATCTGTGTTCACACTCCATGTGTTCACTCTGTACCTGTGTTCACACTGTGTTCACGCTGTATCTGTGTTCACACTGCATCTGTTCACTCTGCACCTGTGTTCACTGCATGTGTTCACTCTGCATCTGTGTTCACACTGTCTTCACACTGTATCTGTGTTCACACTGCATGTGTTCACTGCATCTTTGTTCACAGTGTGTTCACATTGCATGTGTTCACTCTGCATCTGTGTTCACACTGCATCCGTGTTCATACTGTCTGTGTTCACTCTGCGTTCATGTTCACTCTGCATCTCTGTTCACACTGTGTGTTCACACTGTTCGTCCTACACCCAGGATGGCTCCGTTGCCTCCTCTCCATGGACCTGCCCCACCGGCCACCCATGCTTTGTATGGACACAGTTAGGGATGGTGCTCCAGCTGTATTGCCTCCTGTGCAGGGCTGCACTTGCAGGCAAATGCAGTCTTTATTTGGACTGTCCTGGGGCAGCACATGTGTGTCCAGGAGAGGCATTCTGTAGATCGCAGTGCAGTCCTCCAAGGGAGCCCAGGAAGGAGGGTGAAGGGCCTGCAGGAGCTGTGGAGTGCAGAGACTGTTTCCACCTTTTCACAGAAGCCTAAGGAGCAGCATTGTCTGCTAAAGGGAACTAGAAAACTTCCACCCTCCAAGTCTGGGACGTCCCGGGGAAGCCTGCCATGTGTCTGGGACCTTGAGAGGCAGGGAAGGAGGGGAGTCATCTGGAGAAATCAGACCCAGTACCAGGGCTTCACAGGAAATAACAATGGGATGTGTCCTGCACTCCTCAGCCCAGGTGGCGGGGGCAAGCCTCCCCTTCAGGGCTGCGTCCTCCATCCCTGGAACAGAACCCCAGAAAATCCACCCCTCCTGGAGATGAATCCTTTCCATGAGGGGCCACCAGATGGAAGCCACAGGAGAATGAGCACCCCAAGCAGAAGCAGCCACGAAACAGTCTGAAGTGACTCCAAGAGGCACAGGTTCAAACTGCAGGAGATGGAAGGGAGGAGAGCAGCCGGAAAGAGCCAAGAGGGCCATGCGGTGCCTCACTTCTGTCATCCCAGCACTTTGGGAGGCCAAGGCAGGTAGATCACCTAAGGTTGGGAGTTCAAGACCAGCCTGGCCAACATGGTGAAATCCTGTCTCTACTAAAAAATACAAAATTACCCAGGCATGGTGGCACATGCCTGTAATCCCAGCTACTTGGGAGGCTGAGGCAGGAGAATTGCTTGAACCCAGGAGATGGAGGTTGCAGTGAGCGAAGATCATACCATTGCACTCCAGCCTGGGCAACAAGAGCAAAGCTCCATCTCACAAAAAAAAAAGCCACCAGGAAGATGTGAGAAAGAAATGAGTAGACACAGGCATGTGAGGCACAGGGCTGCCCCTGAAAGGACAGACTTGCCAGCAAAGGAAACACAAATGAGGCCCTTGGGAGCATGGGAATCAGGACGGAAAGTGAACCCCGAGGAATCCCCTGAACAGCGCAACCATGGAGGAGGCAGGACGCGTGGATGTGGCCTTTCGCTGTTGGGCTGGGGTGGGCTGTGGTGCAGTCTTATGACAGTTGATGTTTCTGGAAAATCTTTTTGATAGTGCTTGATGATTTAGGTGCAGCTGTGCCATCTGAGGGAGTCTTACAAAGGGACACTGTCACTTGGGTTGCTTTGAGCTGTGATGCGGACTCCCAGAGCGCATGTCCTGGAGGCCGAAGGCGGAGCGTGGGTACAGGGCCTCGGGCATCCCCGTCTGGCCAGTCCTCCTTCCTGCCATGCAGGTGATTGAGACATGTGCATGTGAAGCAGCCTCAGGTGTTTGACCGTTTAGAGGCAGTAGGTGTTTGCTTTTGCGATGTGTGGAGGCAGGGCCCAGAGGTTTACTAAGCCCCTGTTCTCACTTTTGCAGTGCCATGGAGGTCCCAGCCCCTGCTGAGGTTCTCAGAGGTCCCGAGCCCCTGAAGCAGTGCGCAGCCTGGCTGAATGCCTATTTCCAGCAGCCAGAGGCCATCGAGGAGCTCCCCGTGCCGGCTCTTCACCACCCCGTTTTCCAGCAAGGTCGGTGACTCAGCCATCTGCGAGGTGTCCTTTTCGGAGTTTGACTTACTCACAATCTCTGACATCACAGCTCACTTTATTGAGTACACCAGCTCGGTATTTTTACATCAGCGAAGCAGAGACAGCATGTGGCCGAGTTGGAGGCACCGGGCTCCACCGCCTCCACCCACTCCAGCGCGGTGTTAGTTTTGGCACAGGGTTGCATAATTCTTGGCAAGGCCATAAAAATGATGCATGCAGATCAACTCTTGACTCTCACTGGCTGAAAGGTTTAAATAGGAACACATCTGAATGGCAGTAAATTTTTCAATAAGGTTATTGTGAGCTAAAAGTACCTGCTTGCCAACAGCACAGAAAAGGAGACTGTGCGTGGACACGCAGCCACTCCCATGCACTCAGTTGGTGACACTTACATCATAGCAGGTAGCAGCCTGAGATCCCCTGGGATGAGTTTTACTTTTAATTTCTCAAACCATAATTAGACATATGCTGTCTTAAGAGATGGCCTGAGAACTTACCTGTATATAGCCTGCTTACAGCTTGTGGTAACCTAAAACATTTCCCAGGTATTTCTTTTAAAGCTTTGGTTTAACTCTGCTCAGTACAGAAGTTAATCACAGCAACTTAAGTCATTCTAGACACATATCAGAAATGTACTTTGCATAGTGATATTTTCATAATCATTTTTGTATAAATGGGTGTATGTTCCTATGTGATGTCTATAGTTTTACCCATGTATATTCTTAAAGGGAAAATTACCTTGAGATTTTAGATGTGGTGAATTTAAAGCAGTTTGGAATTTCAAATGGGATTTGCTGGGTAAGTTTAGTGGTATTCTCATTGCTGCTGTGCTTCTCAGCACAAAACAAACTTGAAAACGGAGGGAAGTTTTCAGGGGAAGCAGGTGGAGAAGCCCCTGAAGGTTGGGCTAATACCCAAGTTCCCTAACAAAGTCAGACAAGCAAACAGATGAAGCCATGAGCGTGTTTTGTGCACAATGAACTGAAGCCATGCAGCTGTAATGAACTGGGCACGGTGCTGTCCTCTGAATCGTCTACAACTGTCTCCAGAAGGGTTCAGTGGGGTCTCTGGGATGGGCGCGTGGGAAGCTAGAGTGGGTGGGCCTTTGCCTGGAACCAAAGACATCCAAGAAGCCTCTCATCATCTGTGCCCACCAGTGGGTCACTGCCAGGACAAAGGCACTGCCAAGCCTTCTGGGCCGCCGCCTGCTAGGGGCCCACCTCTACCCAGCACCAGGAGCCAGCGAGCCAGGCTGACGGTGTGGGGGACCTGCTTACTGTGCACGTGACAGGCCGGGCACAGGGCAGGCTGTTGCTGCATGCGCAAGGAAGTCAGAGATTGGTTTTGTTTGTTAAAGTTGGGCTTGGGGATCTTAGAGTGGGGAACTCTTCTCTGTACAACCTCTGTTTGCCAGGAGGAGCCTGCTAGGAGGAGCAAGGCTGCAGAACTGCCCAGCAGGCTTTTTTCCTCCTCAAACCTGAGCTGCAGTGTAAGCGCTCAGGACAGAAGAGTTCTCTGGTAGAACCAGGCCAGGAGGTTTCTGTGTAATCGGATGGAGGCTGGGAGAACGAGCCCGCAAACTCCTGAAAGTCACCTGAGGCTTGTTGTATAACATCATGAAAAACTTAAAGGGAAAAGTTGCATGAAAATCCTGAGTGTTCTCCAGGTCATATAGTGGTCCTGCCCGTGGGGCTAGACCCTGCTGGCCTGGTCTCACCAGGGTCCAGACAGCAATATGCGCACAGGCAGGCCAGGAAGAACCGCAGGAGGTTCTTCCGCAGCAGTGACAGGTACTCCGGGACAGGGGTGGCCAGCAAGGAGGGTGTCACTAGGAGTAATCAGTCCCCAAACCACCCCCGCAAGCGCTGAGCCCCAGTGAGCCTCTCCGCCCTTACTTCTGCCCACGGCAGTGTTTGCTGCTCCTAGACCCGAGGACAGACGCACGCCTGGGGCTCCTCGGTCAAGCCCCTACTGCTTAAAGAGAGTTGGGATTGGCTGCGCTTACCCCTGCCTCCCTGACTTTCAGCCCACAACAGGCCAGGCTGCTTCCTGGGCCGGCAGGTCATGATAGGTCTTGGTGACCAGGAAGACCTCAAAGTAGCCACTAGGATACTGAGAAAGGCTGTCTGGCTACCCCACGGCCCCGCCCCTCTTGGAAAGCCCTACAGTGCAGTACCTCCAGCTGGGATGAGGTCCACTTCAGCAAAGTTCTGGGGTGGGAGTGTGCCAGCCTCTCACATCCTTCTCTCGGTGTTCCGGGAACTCTGAGGCTGGCTGTAGGCCCAGGGTGCTGAGCTCCGGGGTCTTCTCTCTGGGGTGGGGGCTGGAGTCCCCTGCACCAGGTCTGCCTGCAATGGTTAGTGGTTGCGGTGGGGGCTGCGAGTCCCCTCCACAGCATGTGCAAGCCAGGTCTTTAACATCTAGCTCAACCATTGACTCCTGGGCAGGGGCCAGTGTGCAGATTTTACTGTTTGAAGAAGGGGAGGTGGATGGTGGATGGTTGCTAACAGGGAGTTAGTTGGTTCTCCCAGACGTGGATGTGCTCCTTTCTGTCCGGATGAGTTTGGTTTGGTCTCTGTCCAGTTGGTATCTCATAACACCAGTGAAATCAACAGTGAGGGGGTAGGTCTTTAGGGGAAAAGTCTTCCGACCTCTCAGAGCCCTGTGGAAGCTGTGGAGTCATAGAAATCAACTTGCTTTGCTGACTGAGAGGAACGGGTCCATTGTAACGTGGAATGAATGTTTCCTTGGCCAATTCCCTTTTCTGTGCATGTTAATTTTTGTATATGTTTAACATACTTTTTGCATATCATTTTTCACCATATTCCCACTTCTGAGATTTAGACCAGGTTTATCTATTTCAATCTGTTCTTTAAAATGAGATTGTATTTGAGCTCAACCTTGAGCTCCAACACATCCACCCTTTCTTTCTGAAGCCCCGGCTTGTCAAAGTCCGGGCCGCACAGTACCAAGCTCTCGCCCCATCCCCAGGCCTGTCCTGCCACACGAAGACCCTCTCTCCTGCACACCGCCTCTTCACCGTACCACCTCGCCTTTCCAGGATTTCTCTCTGCAATGAACATGCTTTTCTTGATTTTTTTTTTTAAGGCTAACCACAAAAATATGCATTATGTTGAACCATATGAAATTGCTATTTTTGAGGTTAAAACTTAATCAAATACTAAAAATTTCAGGTGGTTCAACTTCTTATCTTGGGGAATTTCCAAAGACAGAAAGACAGGTTAGTAACTAGGTGGCTGTCGGGGCATGTCTGCCAAGGGACAGTGAAGCTGCCTTTTCCGACCAGGTGTCTGGAGGTCCCCGGGGCTGCCTCATTGTGAGGTCAAGACAGGTAGGATTTCCCAGTGGGAGGCCCGGCAGCTCTGGAAGGAAGCCTCCTTGTCCTGCTGCACAGATGAGGGGCAGAGCTGACCTGTCCAATGAACCGTATTCTGATTTCCCTTGAGTGCTGTTTAAGTCAGCTCATTTCCTAAAATGAAATTAGTCAAAGTTGTCTTGGTTTTGGGTTTTTTGGCTTTTTTGGTTTGCTTTTCTGGTGTTCTTTAAAGTGTCAACAAAATCCATTTGCTAGCTACTCTGTGACCGAGAGCTCGCATCTTGTCACCCAGCACAGCTTTTCAGGGAGGTCATTTTTCCCCCATAAGCCTCTCACAAGGGTCAGCTTTGTATTTATTTCTCATTCATTTTTCCTCAAGAAATACTTAATGAAGCCATTATTTTTGAAATACAGTCTTACTTTTTTCTTTTATAATGAAATATCAGTTAAACTTTTCTCTGAACACTCCCTGATTTCTGCGTGTTTATTTATTTAAGATGCCTCCTGGAGAAGCCGTAGAGGTCAGCAGCCAGCTCAGTTAGAACAAGAAATTCTTTCCACCCTGGTTTGCCAAAAGTCGCTTTTTATAATGAGTTCAAGAAAAGCAGACCTGCAGAGAGTGAGGATGGACTTTCAGATACAGAACCCTCTTGGACATGTCCTCCGGTCCCTGAGCCTCCCACCCACCGAGACCCGGCCAGCAGGTGTGGCTGACCCCGGGCTGCTGAGGGAGGGCCTGTGGCCGGGGCCTTTCTGCTCCTGCCACGGTGGGACCAGGCTCGGGGCTGCCCACAAGAGGCTGTGGGAAACCTAGCGGGGACCTTGGCCTTCTCACAGATGAAGGCTTTCAACAGACGAGTTCTGAGTTTTCTTTGTAAAGTGACTGCAATGTTCCCTTTTAAATGAAATATTTAACACTTTAATAATTCCTTCGTCACAGCTATTGGCTTACAGCTATGAAATCCAGTTGCATGACAGCAGTAAAATCTCCATTTTTTCATACCTGCTGTTAGAAGTAAGTTTCTGTAACTTCTATTTAACTTCTGTTACAGAGTCTCAGAAAAGATTCATGGTTTTGTATTTTTGTGTCTCCATTGAACTCCTCATTTCAAAAGAGCCTCTAACAGAAGCCCTGCCCCAGAGTTAAGGGAAAGGCCCTTCAGGGTGAGCTCACCGTGTTCCCACCGTGCCCTGTAAGATGGTCCCTCTTTGCTGGTGCTTCCAGTGGGGACCGCATGAGTCCTGGAAGGCGCACGTCCCAGGAGAGGATGGTGAGGGAGGGGAGGAGAGGAGAGCAGCAGCGTTACCCGGGTCCTCACCGGAGCCAGCCCTGTAAGATTAGAAATCCTTCTTGTAGAGCCAAGCAAAGGCTCATCCAGCCCCTACCACCCCATTCTGCTTCCTTCTCACATCCGGGAAAAAGCCTGCCCCTGATGGGCGCCCAAGCAGGCAGTTTTCCTGGAAAGAGGCACGTTAGCGTTCCTCACCCGAAGGACCCAGGGCCCGTTTTGGTGTTCTTAAGCTGTGCCTTATCAGGTGTGTTCCAGCCTGAGTTTTTCTGCAGCTAAGAGGGCATGTTTTTCTTGTGGCTTCCACATAGATCATGGCAGCATGCAGGCTTTGTCCTTTCAGGCACTTTGTA